AGTCCATGTCTCCCATGGCTTGAGAGTCAAGTTTATGGCAGAAGCCACTTCCACCACCCACTTACATCTGTTTAGGCCATGGGTGGAAGCTGTCAGGTGCAGACTTTCCACTGGTGCTGCTGAGGTCAGATCAGGACTTCCCTCAGGTCTGAATTCCAGGTACAGTTCAAACACTTCTCTTCATTACCCACTTCAGACTGTGTCAGTGTTACAGGAGTTTGCCTGAAAAATCCACTGCTTAGGTTTTGCTGAGAACCATTTTTATCCTGAAGTTCAGCATAGGGCAATGGGGAGATGTTATCAGAGAAAATTGGAGAAAAAATAATAAATCCTTATCCAAATGGCACAGACTCCAAAGTGATTTTTCTTTATTTTTCACAAGGGATCAGGATATTCCTCATCTCAGAGCAAAATCAAACACCTTACTAACCCCCCTTATCCATCCTTTAAACGATCAACTAGGAGCTGAAGTGCTTCAGTGTCGTCTGTGCATGTGCTCTGCCATCTTCTGGTCAGTTTTATTGGTTGCGCTTTTGGTAGGAAAAAAGATATTAAAATTAAAGTGGGGGGAACGGGGTAAAGAAACACGAAGGTGGATGTAAAGAAAGAATATATTTTAATAAATGAAATATTAACAACAATTCTTATTTTTAACAACATATGCACAGAAATAGAGAATGTCAGAGCTTGCACCTACACAGATCATAGAATCATAGAAGGGTTTGGGTTTGAATGGACATTCAAAGATGACCTAGTACAGCACCACCTGCCATGGTTAGGGACACTTTCCACTAGACCAGGTTGTTGAAAGTCCCATCCAGCCTGGACTCGAACACTGGTGTGGCAAATGTTGGAGTAGTTACAAGGTGTCTTCTGTTTTCACTGCCAGGATGTCAGGAGACTTGCACATCCTTGTGGCTATGCTCACGGCCTTGTTGTGAATGCAGCATCCATAGGAGAGAATCAGAGCTCTCTGGGATTACATTCCTTCCCCCTGTTCACTCCTCCATTTCAGGTTTTCCTGCAATCTCTAACCAAACCACAAAGACAGCACTGATGCTCTTTTGAAACAGCTGCACGTTCCTCCTGCTTTTAGAAGTGCTGATGCATGTTGGATTTGGCAAGAAAAACTTTTGGTTTTTGTCTGCAGGTGGTGAACAGACCTGGCTGATGGCAGTCCAGGTGTTTAGCTGAATCATAACCCATTTTAACTGTACTAAGCATTGACCCTTTGCAGAGTATGTGTTTCCTTTCTGCTGGCTGGAGAAAGTGCATCTGACATTTTTGTACCTTCTCTGCACACAAAGACCTGTGCTACCTATAAGCATGCATGATGATAACCACGCTTCACATGAGGAGAAGGGAAATGGGATTAGCTCATGTCACTCATGGCTAGTTCTTGACCGAGACTACACATGACCACAGTCACCTGTTTTGGACAGTCTGGTGTCTAGTCAGGGCTGAGGGATGTGCTCCCATTTTGTTGTTCTAAACAGTTGTCTGCAAGGGAGCATTTCTTCTCTAATTTGAAAAAGCTCTCTCTTGTTCCTGAATCTGCTGCTTCCACTTCCATATTGTCTATGCAAAGAATAGCCTCAATCTCCACAACATATTTGCCCCAAAGATCAGCCCTCTGACAGAGGAATTACTGAGTTAAGCCATGATAAAACCTGGCCTCTACCCTCTCCATCTCTCTGGAGCTGACAACAATTGCTGTGATTTACCTGCAGCTTCTCCATGGCCTTTCCCTGTGGGGAGAGACCAGCTAGGCAGTAGGCAGTCAGTCCTCATCCCCTCCTTTTCCTTAAGAGAAAAGATGGTGCTTTGGGGATCTGTCAACACTCAGGGCACAGGGCAGTTTACCTCTTCAGTTTGTCAGGCAGGAGATGAATGACCTGTGTGGAAAAGGACAATGTGGAGGACAAGGAGGTGGCTTGCTGTAGCCATGGGAGGTTTAGCAAAAGGTGTAATGGGGCTGTGGAGTTCAGCAACATTTTGTCTGCTGCCCTGTGCCATATGGGATGGACAGGTGTTGCCCAGGGTGGGCTGCAGCGGGGCTACAGTCAGTCACACCTGCTCTTACCTCCTCACCCTGTTGATCAGGACTCTGGATAACCTGGAGCAAGGACAGAGCACAGAGGAAGCCAGTAGGGTGCTGAGGACCGTGCCACAGGCAAAATGGGGAAGGAGAGGAGGCAGAGGCAAGAAAGTCACCAGGTCTACCAGCAGCACAGATGGCTCAGAGCAGAGGGGCTTGGAGGGGCCCCTGCTACCGCTCCACTTCCAGCGAGTTGGTGATTACTAACCACCAGCACCACAGTCCAGTTCTCCTTGAACCATCTTCAGTATCCACAACACACAATTAGCTGCTGTGTCTGCGTGCCCCTTGGAAGGAGGGAGAAATGTGGCTGCAAGCTCAGCCATCAGCTTTCGTTATTTGCTTAGTGCAGAGGTGATGTTTTCTGGTAAATAATAGTTGTCCCCTTTCACTAGCTGAGGTATGCATTTCCAAAAATCATGTGACCAGTTACTCAGGACAGCTGCCCTTGACCTCTCATGCTGCAGCAGGGCTGATGGCCAGCCAGGGTCCCGTAGCATGAGGTAGGTGGCATTGGCAGGTCCCTCACTTCCTGGGCAGCTGGCCTGCAAACCCACTTTCCCTGGCTTACTGCACTGGGCAGGAAATTACTTCCATGGGAACTGGTTGCTAGAGCAGGAACAACTCCCTCAGTTACTCCATCCTGAGGAACTGCTAATTTCATATCTGACACTGTCTGCAGTCTTCATCCTGGAACCAGTAACCCTCCAAGCTGGGGGCAATCCTTAAGCAAGGCTACAGGAAATAGGGTGTGAGTCTCCTTAATGAAACACATCACCATGTGCTTACTGTGGTAATTAAAGGAATGGAAGAAGAAATCCCAGTAACACTTCATAAGGAAAGATGTGCAGACAGGACTGCCCTTTTAAAACCCTCCACAGTCATATGAAAATTAAAATATAAAGCCTGTTGCATTGATACCAATACAGAAAAAGCAAAGTCGGTGCCATATGTACTGAGTACGCTGTGTTCTATTCCGAAGGACACAGCTTCTCAGTCAAGGGATACTTTTTTTGAAAAATACACACAGTCAGAAAAAAAATGACCATTCTAAGATCTGGTAAGAATACAGCTTCTGAAGCTCTGTGTTGTTAATATTAACCCAATTTGAATAATTAACTTATATTTAAATAGTTCCTTAATTGGTTTGCAAAATGTAAACAGTTTCTAAAACTTGTGTTTTAGAAAGTCCTGTGCTGACATCAAGTGGTGACATATTTTTCAAGCCAAAGGGAGCCAAACTTGCTGTACTGCATATGCACAGGATGATTTTATTACCAATGAGTAGGTAAAGGCAAGTAGTCACAGGTCACTGGCAGGTGCTTCCATGGGGATGGACAGACAGAAGAGTTTGGAGAAGTAACACAACCACTGCTGTGCAAGGCAAGAAGGGTGGGGTGAGGTGAGGTGAGGTGAGGTGAGGTGAGCTGAGCTGAGCTGAGCTGAGCTGAGCTGAGCCTCCACAGCAGCTCCTGGGCACAGGAGGTACTGGCTGAGCCTCCCAGCACCCACCAGATGTGACCACTGGCAACAGCCCTCCCTTTCTCTAGCCAAGAAACCTCTGGTTGGAACAGGTATGATGGGGCTTGGTGGCCTCAGAGGAGTGAGGAGACAACGCAGAGTCCATTTACTAAAGAAAACTCGACACACAGTTAACCAAAGAGGATGGAAGGCTGTACTAAGTAGTTCTGCAGAAATATCAAGGAGGAAAAAACAAATATGTAAGGTTATGAACTGACTGTGAATAAAATCAAGCTTGATATTAGAAGAGTTTTAACTCCAAGTGAACTTCTGGAGCAACAGCCCTGTGGAAATTGTACAGGACACAATGCAGTTTTAAAACTGAGGTTGATTATTTGCTGAAGGAATTAGAGTCTGCGATGTGAGCTGTAACATCAGCCAGGGACTGGCCTTGGTGAGGCATGTGGTCTGCTTCCCTCACCTGCCTCAGTACTCACTGAATCTTGTTTTAAAAGTTGAAATTGATGGGAAGTGAAGTTTTATTTGGGGATTTACCCATGGATGCTCAGATGAGTTATACTCTGTTAAAGGAACTGCATACTCAGATAATAGCTGGGGATTTATGACATGAAAACACACAATGGTCTCTATGACTAAAAAAAAACCACTCTCTGTCTCAACAGCTGTTGCTCTGAGTGTAGAAATCATTTCCTGTTCTTCCCAGAAGCCTGCCTGTGCTGGGAGCCAAAAGACTCCCTGCAGTACCATTGCCATTGCACACCAATGGGTTTATCCTTCCTCTTGTCCAGGGCTGGGAAGAAGGGTCACCCCAGCCACTGGATGCATAGCTCAGCAGCCCACGGAGTGCTTTGGTCCTCTCTGTATTTACACCTCCTTTCACAGACTCTGTGTGTTTGTCTCTGTGGGACTGGGATCCTGACATTAGGAAACAAGTTTCACATGCTTCATGGCTGGGCATTACAAACCTAACAGTGAAAAAGAAAAATGCCATATCCACTCAGATGCATCCCTAGGGGGAAAATCCCATGCTTGGGTGCTGGGTTGTTCCAGAAGCTGGTGGGATTTGCCCATTGGGGCTAAGCCTTGGCAAATGTTTTATGGGGACAGTGTATGAAAAAGCCATGTCATAAACTTGCTCCCTGTGGTCATAGTCCAGCTTGTGCTTTGATATGGTACAAAGAAATGTTCATATTGTTCATCTTCACCCACGCTGTGTTATGGTAAGTGAAGGCTGGGGCATAGAAGGAATACCCAGATCTTGGAGCAGCTCTCAGCCACGCTGGCAAAGGTCTACACTGTCAGCCAGGGCACTAAGAGAAGGGGCACTGTTGCACCACTAAGCAGGGGGTTTTGTTTGGTTTTTGATTTTTTTTTTTTCATGTGTTGACATTACAGCCAGGATTTGCTCTTAGAGCTTTTGTTTTCTCATGAGCAGCTGGACTTTAAACTTCATCTGTCCTGTAGCTGTTTTGCCCAAGAGCTGCAGAAATGCAGGCAGGCGCCATTAGGCTCAGAGGGTAACAATGACAAGGTGCTCTTGGATAATATTGTTCCTTCTCTCTGCCCTTTTCCGTCAGACAGAGCAGACAGGTATGGCCTTTGTTTTGTTGTGCCTTTAATTCTAATTTGTGTTACCACTCCTCTAAAAACACCAGTAATTTTCTACTTTGTATCATGTTTACTTTGCAGCACGGGGTAATATCCCTGAAGAATGTCTTTTCATAATTTTCCTTATATTTCTCCTGTTTATTTCATGCACCTAAGTGAAAACTGCAGTAGGTTACTGAGGCAATGTAATTTTAAAGTACCATCATTTATGCCAGGGTAATATTTTGTCTTTTCTTACAATTTTAAAGTACCTCAGATATTAAAGAAAACTTTGTTTTATATTTCTAGTTGTTGCTGACATAAATATAAGAGAATTGTATGAAAGAGGCTGATATGAATTCTTGTTATAGCTTGAAGAAACTTGTATTAATCCTTCATGTTTTGTCAAAAATAAGGAGGAGCTGGGCAAGGAAGAAAAAGATGGTGACCTCTTAAGAAGGTCAAAACGCCTCTGGCAGCAGTAGAAGTGCACTGCCAGCTGTGCTGGATGTGGCAGAGCCACTGCACAGGAGAAATATATGTTGGGGGTCAGATAAATCTTTAAAATATAAATCATGGTCATGAAGCTTTTTCTTTCTTTAATATCATATGCAAGCCAATTGCTTATGGGATAACCTTCAAAAAAGATAAACATCTGTATGCAGTTTCAGAATAATTTTGTTACTGCTCTCACTTTTTCCAATTCTGTGATCATTAATTATTTTAACCTGGCGGTGTTGGGCCCCCAAATGCTGTATAAACGAAAAAAACAAAACAACCCAAGCATTCCCTGACCCAACACGTTTACTTTCCAAGTACAGAAGAATTGACAAACACCTGCAGACACACACAGCCACATACTGCCTAATGTGGGGGCAACAGTCTCCAGCACTTCGCCAGCTGCCCAGCAGGCAAGCAGTTTTTGTTGCATATATCATTGCAAAGAGGAGTTTTAAGATCTGATAACTCTCATGTCTTTGAGCCTTCCTCCTCTTTACTCAAATAAAAAAGATTACAGTATCTTCCACATAAAGGGTCGTATGTTATATAGCCCTCTTCAACACGAGCATTGCTGAGGGGTAGCTTTTATTTATTCTCCTTAAGAGATAATTAATTGAGAACTCAGCCATGTCACAGCTTTGCTTCTCAGCAAATAAATTACCATGAACTAAGACTGAAGAGTGTCAGTTTGGATCCACCATCATAAGCTAACACAACTAATATTCACTTCTACTGATGAGTTTGAAAGCCCTATGCAGTCTCACAAAATAGTCTCTGCCTTTATGTTAATGTTTCCCCTTTGCCTGGCTGTGCTACAGCATTGCTGCTCTGTGTGTCTCATGCAGTAAAAAAATGTGTCAGGAAGGGCCTCAAAGTCTCTCTGCTTGGGAGCAAGTCAGGCATTTCCTAAAAGTAAAAGGTCACAGCTTCTCTGCTGAATTTGGGCTAAGAAAGTAGAGCTCTTTAGGTATGTAAGTTCATGGCTGAAATCATGGATGAGCCAAAATTAATTCTCTTTTAGAAAAGGAGATAAAAGTATTCAAGGAAATGAATCTAAGTACTTACATCAAAAAACCCTTACATTTTGTCATACAATGTTCCAGTGTTTATATCAGCTGACGAGGCAAACAATGTTATCAAGAGACAGAGGCGTGCCAGTTCCCACCTTCTGGAGGAGATCCTCCAAGGCAGCTTGGAAAGGGAATGCCTTGAAGAGAGATGTACACATGAAGAAGCAAGAGAAGTATTTGAAAATGACGAAATGCTTGTAAGTATTTTGTTTTCCTGTGCATAATAAAAATTGCTGCCTTGATCTTTTTCTTACTAAACACGGCTTCACAGACTGCTTCATTTGTTTGGGTTTCTCTCCATGTAAAATCTTTGCACTTCCCACTTCAGTAGGTAGAAAGCAGTTGTCTTCCATGGTCAAAATGGAAGTGAGAAGGTCAGCTCTGACATTTTTCAAGTCCCCTCCTGAAAGTTATGCATCCTGCACCTTATGTTGTGAAATCACATGGTTGTTGTCCCATCTTGACCACGCACAGAAATACTTCCTGCATGGATGAACAGGGAGCTTCCGGACAAACTCAAACACAGGAAGGAAGCCTATAGAGGGTGGAAGCAAGGACAGGTAGCTGCTTGGGAGGAATGCAGAGGAACTGTGAGCAGTCAGGAATCAGGAAAGCCAAAGCCCTGAGTGAATTAAACCTGACCAGGGATGTCAAGGGCAACAAGAAAAGTTTCTATAGGTATGTTGGTGCTAAAAAGACGACTGGGAAAAATATGGGCCCTCTCCAGAAGGAAACAGGAGAACTAGTTACTGGGACATGGGGAAGGCTGAGGTACTTAATGACATTTTTACCCCAGTCTTCAATGGCAAGCACTCCAGCCACACGACCCAAGTCACAGAAGTCAGAAACAGGGACTGGGAGAATTAAGAACCACCCATTGGTGGAGAATATGCAGTGGTAGGAAAGGGGCAAGGTTTTAAACTGCAAGAGGGTAGATTTAAATTGGATATTAGGAAGAAATTCTGTACTGTGAGGGTGGTGAGGCACTGGAATGCATTGCCCAGAAAAGTTGTGGATGCCCCATCCCTGGGGGTGTTCAAAGCCAGGCTGGATGGGGCTTTGAGAAACCTGGTCTAGTGGAAGTTGTCCCTGCCCATGGCAGGGGGAACTAGATGATCTTTAAGGTCCCTTCCAATGCAATTCTGTGATTCTGTGATAGGGATGGAGGGAAGCAATGCACCAGCAAGTAGTTACACCTATAGAAAGAGGTTCACTTGCTCAATAGCTGCAGATCCCTCGTACAAGAAGCCCTCCTGACATGTACAGATGGATGCTGTGCTCTTTAATAGGAATCTTGATGGAGATTTTGTTTTCAGGGCAAGCAAAGGAAACAGCTGTAGGGCTGCCCATGCATAGCCATGGTGCTTTGAGGAAGGGAATGGTAGGGAGTGGTATCCCTTTGGAAAAAGCAGCATTAGAGTCAGCTGCAGTACCAAGGGAAATGCAGGGCACGTGATGGTGACTAGTGCTGACGACCTGCAGCTCTGCTCTGTGCTGACCCTTCTGCCTCCAGCAGCACCTCCTGGGGGCCAAGCAGTATGGGACAGGATGGGGTCACTTCCCAGGCTGCTGCATGCCAGGGAGACAATAGTCAGCCAGTTTTTCCAGGAAGCTGCTAAAGGATTCAACTGTTCCTCTCTGGCCTGTGAAGTGTTTATTTTTCTTTATAGCTTATTAAGAAACAATAAAATAAGCAGGAGACAAACCCCCTCCCATCTCATGCATATTTTGCTAGTAGGGCAGAATTTGTAATTGTGCAACTGTGCAAACATCAAACTGCAGTATATATTCTCTCATAGGATGTTTTTCTTTTATCAAAATATTTATGGGTTATGACATTATTTAAGAATTAAAATCTAATTTTCTTTTCTTTCTTTTTCCCCCAGAAAATGTTTTGGGATATCTACTACGGTAAGCTGGCCCCTTGATTTTTCTCCTTCATAGTACTGTTACATTGTGAACAGTATGATCTTATCCAGTGCTGGTTTTCTAAGAGTTTTTAGCAGTTTATTCTACAAGGAACATCCAGTCACTATTTGTCATGGAAAAGTCTTGATGTTTTAAAAAGAGTAGTAAATAGGAAAAAATTTTAGGCTGCAGAAAAAGAATAAAAGTTGAAGTGAGCCAGTGTTATCACAGTAAATAGGCTACTTCTTTTCTTGAACTTAAAGCTGTTCTGAATTAACCTGGGCTATGAGAATATCTGTTTTACTGATACAACAGAGCAGCACAGCTTTACCAGCAATATCTCCCAGACCTAGCAACTAAGCCTGAGTGAGATAAATAGGTGTTAAAAGCTAGTGGGCTACCTACAAACTCTGGATGCTGGCGCTGCATCATCCCCTGGCAGCTGTTGAGGCAAGAAACAAATCTGCAGAAGCTGAGGGTCTGATGTAACTAGATGCCTCCTGAACAAGGAGCCTGTGGCACCAGCTTATGGTGACTATGCCATATTCCCTCTCTTTTCTGCATGGCTCATTCCAAGCTTTTCTCTTGCTTTTAACTTAGCTTTTATTAATTTCTAATCTTAGGTTTAGACAGTAGATAAGGAGTGGCAAAACCAGCAGTCAGTATTAATTTTCTGCAGAAGCCACTAAAACATTGAGTCCAGGGAATCATTACATAGAAGAATCCCATCAGTGCTATATAGATTTTATGAAGAATGATGCTAAATATCTGGCATGTTATTACTTCTGTGAGGGTGGGATTAACTTTTAACTTCAGTCATTGCGTGTTTGTACTAAGCATGTCATGCAGGCTTCCCCTCTTCTCTAGAAAGAGAGAAGGGCAGCCAGTTCAGAATGGTCCATGCAAACAAGCTTAGCCACAATCAGGACACATTACTGGCTTCAGCCTGAGGGATGGCTTCCTTGCTGTAATTAAAAGCCATATGTTCTGTCTTCTTCCTACAGAACAGCAGTGTGTGCTTCCTTCTTTGTGATGTCTTCTCTAACGTTTTAAAGAGTGTTGCCTTTGAAGAGTGGCTTCTCTCCTCCTCCTTACTAAGCAAACACATTCTTCCATCCTGTCTTCCAATAATCTTGTTTTCTAGACTTCTGGTATCTGTTTTGCTTTTCCCCCAAAGTGCAGAGTACAGTGGGTAAATCTGCATTGTGAATAAGAGTGCTGGGGAGAAAGGCTGAGCACCCACCCAACTGCTGGGTCACCCTTTCGCTCTGTTTTGTACTGCTCCACCTTTGTCCTTCAAGTCAAAGCTGATGTAGCAGTGTCTTGCTGGATGTCAGGGCACTTCAACTGAGGTCATACTTGTCCCTGACCCTCTTTTGTTAACAGTATAAACTTAGCCATTGACAATCTCTCTTAAAACATTACTTTTTTAACAGTTTTGTCCATGCCTTATAGCAGTGTGTGTTTTCCTAACTCACTTAATGACAATGTCATCTGAGACATTTCTATTCTATGATGTTCTCCGATTCCCCCTAGATTCCTTATCCTATAATATGATTAGATTTAAATGGTTTGGATTATTTGTTCTTGAAAAATGTATGTTGGTTGTTACTTACCACCTTTTTATTTTGCTGGGTGCTTACAGTTTAATCATCCCAGTAGCATTCCAGTAACAGAAATCATGCTGATTTCTCTATAATTACCTGTGTCTCCTTTCCTCCTTTAATAAAGCTAGGTGCTAGATTTACTGTATCCCCAGCATGCATTTCAGAGGCTTGAAACCATCTAACTGCTTCAGGCTGCAGGCATAACCCTTTCCCTAGCTCCAGCTACCCATGACTGCTCCTGGAATTCCTCACTCCTCATCTCTGCCTGCTCAGCTGTGGAGACGAGACCTGCCTAACCCACCCAAAAAACCCTCCCAGGAGGCCTAAATTGTGCTGGTGTATGCTGATGGCATCTGGCTGCAGACAGGCTGAAGGTGATAGCTCTTTCAGCCAGTACTTCAGTACATTTAACACTCAAAGATATGCATACCCATAGCCTGAGAAGATGGTGATTGGTGCTTTTTTTCGCAGTAATAGGTAGAGTTTTCATCTTTCTGTCCCTGATGTCACACTAGGGCAGCCCACTGACTGAGGCTAACCTCTCAGATGAAGTGTTAAATTTTAGAAAGTTTAGGCTTTTCTGGCTCGTTCACTGATAGCTTATGTCTACAATAAGCAGTTTTTATTTGGAGCATGTTTCCAAACTCTTTGGGAATCTTTCCAGTAGGCAGCTTGAAGGGAAACTGGCAGCTTTGCCCAGTGCTTCACTCGTAGTGAACGGGACATCCTCTGGTTTCAGCATTTGGTTCATCAGAAAGACTAAACTTGCTAGTGTGTGAGCTGCTGTATAATAACGGTACAGATATATAAGAGGTTTCCTCCTATTTTGATGTTGCTTGCTGTATGCTTGTTATAGAATTTTGATGCCAACTTTTTCTATCCAGTGCATATCAACCTAACATAGGAGACCTAAAACACCAGTCTCATATTACATTTTTAAACAACACATGGAACTGTAACTCAGTCCTTTTCCCTGAAGCAGAGCATCTGTCCTCCAGAACCAGACTCTGCCTCTGGGCACCTCCCAGCCTCTCTGACATGGGCTGCAAGAGTGCCTCTGGAAGTAGATTTGGGCTAAAGTTATCCCTGAGGAGCAGTTAGGTGAGACTTAGCCCATTTCCTTCCAAACCGCTTTCACAACATTTCTCTGTTGTTACTTACCACCTTTTTATTTTGCTGGGTGCTTACAGTTTAATCATTCCAGTAGAATGAGAAGCTCGTGTGCTGGGAAGGGGGCTATGTAATTCGGGGTCAGTGGTGGTGGTGATTCAACCCTATCCATTTCTTCAGAGGGCAGGAGGTGCTCCTCGAGCCCCTGCCAGAACAACGGCGTGTGTGAGGACAGCATTCGTGGCTACACCTGCACTTGTGCTGAGGGCTACGAGGGAGAGAACTGTGCTTTCGGTAAGGCATTGCCCCCCTTCTAGAGAAGCCTTATCTTCTCCTTTCAGAGGGGGTTCCCATGAAACCATACACAGGTGTCCCATTATGCAAAAACATCATGTTTTTGGTTAAAACACACAGTTCTTGGTAAAGCAGGAGTGATATGTGCTGCCCAGCTACAAAACATTACAGCATCCCAAGGCTATGCAGTCTGTCCCTGCCCCGAGTCTCCCTTCTCTAGAGATGCAGCAAAAGGGCTGAAGCAAATCCACCTCATGGGTGGGCTGTAAAAGCAGCCCTGCCACTGCCACCTGTGCTACATGGCTGCTTGCCCTGCTGTGGTCCCAGGTGGCGTGTGGCCTGAAGAACCAGGGCTGCAGTGCTGGAGTGGCTGGCTGCCCAGGCAGCCCAGTGCCTCTGAGGCCACTCACACCCACAAGCTGGTCCCTTGGGAGAGAGGGACTCCAGAAGACAAACCGTTTCCAGTGGAACTGAAAGGCATAAAGCAAAACAGATGCTTTCTGGCACATGAAACACCCTGGGCCATATCCTACATTTTTACGTCTGCCAGGTTCTACTTTCCAGCCCTTACATCAGTATTTCTGCTGGTTCAGAGGTCCCCTGGGGTGGGAGACGCCCTGGCTGCAGCAAGGCAGGGTCATTTTCTGTATAAGGGGTGTGACTGTGACCAGCTTCTGGGAGAGGACAGAAAGTGACACAGTTTGGACCAGTGCTGGGAACTGGATCTGTTCAGTGTGAGCCTTAAAGAGCCATGTTATATAAGGTTTTATGCTACTTCTCCACATATGAGCTAGATCAAACACCTGTTGCTTTGTGCTAGAGCTTCAAGTGTTTGTTCAGCTATGGAAAGTTGACTGAGCATGTTTCTAAGTTTATACTTCCTTTCTTTTTTCCTTATCTTTGGCAGCTGATAATTTAAAGTTTCTTAGAACGAGTGTGCAAAATAAGAGCTATGCATTTGTTCTTTCTGAAAAACAGAAATCTTGGCTGCCTTCTTCCTCAAGCGATAGTTGCCTTCTTAGCATCTGCAACAGTTCCCCTCCCTGCAGATACTGTGTTTTGTTTAAAAAAACCATGGCATCCTTCCATGGGTTGACATGGAAGGCCCAGGGCTAATGCTCCCCTGAACTCAAGAAGTGCAGAGAATAGGTTCAGGGAGATGCTGGGGGAACACAGTTTGCAATGAGTCTGTGGATGTTGCACTCGCTCTCTCAAATTTCTGCTTAACAAGGGAAAAATAATGTGTTGGGAAATACTACCAAGTCGGAATCCCTGCCTGTCTCCACACAAAGTGAATAAAAATAAAACGTAAAGAGGACTCAAGCTATGAAAGAATACTCCAGGTGAACTGTTCCCAATGTTTTCCCTCCGCTTGTTCTGTTTAGCTAAAAATGAATGTCACCATGAAGCAAAAGAAGGATGTCACCACTTCTGCTACCCAGGAATTAATTCCTACCGCTGTTCCTGTGCTGATGGCTATGAGCTTGGGCAGGACACAAAACAGTGCATCGCATTAGGTAGGTGTGAGCATGGAAGTACAGGAGGAACCTGTTCAGGGCTGGGATGGGCAGGCCACCACCTGATACCCAGATATGATCAACCTGCTCTGAGACTCAAGCAATGAGAATATTACTGGGTAGAAAAAGGAGAAATCTAGGGACCACCACCTAAGATGTCAAAGTAACAGTAAAAGAAGTGATATTTGATCTAAACATTTAAATATGAGTCTGCAGAGAGAACTGGCATCATCTTACATATCACTCACCAGACCACGTTTTCCACTCCTAGGTTTCGTAAAGAGTAAGTCCACTGAACACTGGTTTGTTTGGGAATGAGGTTCAATTGATTCCCATCAGGCATCTGATGATCTGATAAGTGAAGTGTAACATTTGCTGCCATATTAATTAGTTTAAAGCAGTAGCCCTTTTCACCTTTTCAGTCTCATACTAGGTATCTCATTCAATATCATCCCCTTATAAAGTAGGCCTACTAAAAACACAGAAGTATATTTAGACCCATGTCTGTATTAGCAAGTGGGGCAGCCAAATAGGAGTTCAGCTGTAGAGCCACTCTTTTGGTGATGAAAGTCTGATGCCCACACTCAGTGCACACTTCAGGTGGGCTTTACATCAAACTAGCTTTAGTTCAGTCCTGTGGACTAAGCACCGATTAGCTATGAGAGTATGCTATGTGTGCTCCTGGAGGGTGTCTTCTGGTTTAGCTTCACCAGAACACAATCCAGTCTGTGTGACCCAAAAGCAAACCACAAGGTGAACTGAAAGTGACAAATGCAGATAACTGGGTGATCCAGTTGTAGAGCACTCATGTTGTTTGAACCATAACAGAAAGGCATGCACATCCCTAGAGTGACAGCTTTAACAAAGAAAACCTCGGATTTACCTTATCTGGACTGGGCCACAGCTATCAGGTATTTGGCACAATTCGAATACAGGATATAAAACTGAAAAAGCAAGCTGCGCTGATGCTTGGCTGGAGAGGAAGCCTCATTTCCTTAGTTACAGACACAGTGAAATCCAGTCACTACAATGACCCAAAATGTTCAGCCCCTTGCTAAACTGTTATGACTACAAATGCCAAGCAAATTATTCCAATTCTCATCAGCTGAGAAATTTGTCATTCTCCTTTTCCTTTGTTCAAAAACAAAATCCAAAAGTCAAGGTGGAAGCAATAAGGCATTTGCAGGTATTAGCTATCTTGAAATGGTACAGTACAAGCTTTTGAATTTTTTTTAATTCATTTGTTAGATGAATGTGCATGTGGCAGACTTCAAGACAGTGATAATCTGATAAGTGAAACCAGGAAGAAACATGACGAGCGATTTCCCTGGCAGGTATTTCTAGCAATTCATGAAACCCATCACTCCATCTCACATGGACAGTGCTATCTATTGCCTTTTTGCATTTTCTTAGGTGCTACTGCTAAACTCGGAAGGGAAAGGCTTCTGTGGAGGAGTGCTGCTAAAAAGTAACTTCATATTGACCACAGCAGAGTGTGCTCTTCTGCACAACCATTTTGAAATCAGGGTTGGTGCTGGTAAGTGACCCAACACATCTTCTCTTGTTGCAGCACATTTTAGTATTGACAAGCTAAATTTAAAAAAAGCTTACTAAACTTGTTGCTGCATAAAAATATTGTAAAAGGAAACAAATATGCTGTCATTTCATTTAAGCACCTCAGTCAAGTATCTGAGCTAGAACTACAGCTGCCCCATACCTCCTCTAGAAGCCAAGCAGAGACAACTGCCTCTTGGACATAATGCAGAACTCAGCACATAGCGATAAACTAAACATGGTGGATTTAGAGGTGGCTTTTGTTTCATGCCAAAATTCACTTCAGTGTTGGGTTTTTGTCCTTACTGCTGAAATTATGCATGCTTCTACACAGCATTAAAAAGCCATCAAGGTATTATTCCTACTTTCCCTTTACTGCAGCGGTTCTGAGAAACAGCACCTTCAGTTTCTCTGCCGCACGTGTTCCTCAGCACGACCAGGCGGTCTTGCATGCAGCTTACAGGTCTCTGATAAACTATTCCTAAGAGCAGTTGAAATGCCATTGCTTCACAGGGCCTAATGGAACAAGTGGAACTGAGAAGATAATGCAAGTTAGTGAGAAGCACATACACATCCGGTATGATGAAGACACTGGTGAGAACAACGTTGCATTGCTACAACTTCAAGAGCATGTTGAGTGCAACAACTACCAGCTTCCTGTATGTGCCCCTGAAAGAGACTTTGCAGAACACGTTTTAATTCCAAAAGTGGCTGGTACAGTTAGTGGCTGGAGCATAGAAGGTGATGAACTTAAAGTTGATGAGCTGCAGGTTTTGTACCTTCCTGCTGAGGACTGCAAACAAATACTCAACGTCAGCCTCACAAACAGGCAGTTTTGTGGGCACCTCCAGAAGGCCGTAGACAAACGACTGGTTGGAGGAAGCTTTTTAGCTACTGAGTATAAGGGCACTTGGTTTCTGACTGGTATCCTGGGATCTTGGCCACTAGAAGACACTGACTGGGAAACACTTCTATTCACCAACACTGCAAGGTATATGATATGGGTTAAACAAAAAATGAAATAAGACACAAACACAACCAACTCTCAAGCACCAAACGCCTACCAATCATTGCAAGGAAACATATGGATGCAGCCAGTACACCCATCTGACTGTATCACAATTCACAGCAATGGAAGTTGCAATGATGGCACGTATTTAACTCCAAGTTATACAGAAAAGCCTGTTTGTCTTTCCTTCTTCTGCTGACACACAGTACTGTGGAAGTCATGATGCAGTAAACCTAGTTATTTTATGAAAACCTGATTTAACTTTAAATTTCTTAGAACTGTTCATCCTAAAACTCCAAACACTTTGATGTCTTTCTGGGATTTTAAATAGTGCTAGAAGGCAATGAGTCTTTTCAATTCTTGGTACCCTGAGGTCTGCTTCAGCAAATTCATACTCTTAATTCAAGATTCATACAAGTAAAGCTTACATAGACCAGGGGAACTTCTTTTACATGTCTGTGTTAATGACTGTGTAAGGTCTTGACACTTTCATCATGTTTAAAAGTGCTTCCCCTCATACATGGTACCTGTGTTTTCCCTTATGAAGATGTTCATGTCAGTTAGAGGATAAAATAAAACCCAACTGTAAAAGATAGGAAAAGAAAAAGTTTAATTTCCTTTTAAAATAATTTTAAAACCCCCAAACTACCATCTCATCAGTTTGGACAAAATTACATTGTACCAATCCCAAACAAGGTAATAACACTAAAAATACTGGATCCAGTGGTAGTGTTTTCCCCAGAAGCAAAATAAAACAGACTATGGGTAAGTTAGCTACATCATCTTTTGTTCACCATTATAGAAATAAAACAAATATCACCAGAACTAAAAAAAAAAACCAAACCCATCTGTGGGCACCTACAGACAAATTGCCCACATTTTCTTGAACCTGTAAGTATTACTGACACAGTAAAGCTTTTGGTGTCAAGCACTTCTCTAGTTTTTAGAGAAAGCTTGAAGAGAATATTTAATACCAGCAAGATTATCGAAGAGACTTAAAAAAAATGGAAACCATGTAAGAAAACATTATTTCCATTCTGAAGAATGGATTAACACGAGTAACAAAGGCTGACACTTCTCTCTGAAAGATAAATGCAAAAATAGTAACACAAAGTACTTTATAAAAACTTTTAAGTAATTTGTGAGTAATTTGGAATGCTTTGCTTTATTTCTTCATGAAATACTTGGAATTATCTAGAAAGCCTGTGGAAATTATTATTTAAAAGTCAGCATTTCATTCCAACGCACTTTGTAACACTGGCAGTCTTGGTCCTTCTGGGAAAGGAGCCACAAACAGTTCCTGGTATTCCAGTTCTGGACATGAACCAGGCAATTTACAGTGTCCTCGGGGTGATTAGGAGCAGTTCCACTGGACAAGCCAAGTACCTGGGAAGCACTTGCATGGATAAGATGCAACACTCAACACACCGTTGACAGTGGAGGAAATGGGTTCTGCTTACTGACCACAAGCTTCTGATGCTGGTGGGATATGTAGCCTTTAATGTGACCCTGGCAGAAGGAGAAAAAGGGAGCATTAGCACGGGCAGCTGGTAACACAAGGCCTGTAACCTAGGCAAATACCTATAACCTAACCATAGCAGTGTGTGTATGCTCAATCACTGCTGCACTACTGAACTTAATATCTATAATGGTCCGATTTATGTCAACTCGGAGAGTAAGCAGAAAGTTGGAACCATCCCTGTGTTTGGGTACTACCTACCCTCTCAGTTTGAGAGCCTCTTGCCAGGGCCCCCTATTGGTCTGCTTACATTATCTTCAAGAGACACAGCTTTACAGAAGTGTTTCTAAAGTTACTCTTTGTTCACTTTAAAATGAGGATTATAATCAATTAGTATTCCACACCTAATAAAGTAAATTACATAGTACTTCCTTTTCAAACATTGTGCTGCAACACTGAAAGAAATCTTCCAGTGACCTACACCACATCACATAATCTGTTTCAGAGAGATGTGTTTCATTTACTTGCTGACATCACAGTGCTGCTCCAAAACCTCTGATTTAATAGAAATCTTTACATTTCAAGCCTTTATCTGTTCATGAGTAGTTGAAATCCCCTTAGAGTAAAAGACAAAATGTGGAACAAACCCAAAGAAATCTGACTTTATTTTTTTCTAATGTTAGAAGGTCAAGAGTCTCCTACTTCAAATGCAGAACAAATCCTTTTTGGTCCCAGTTAAAATGTTTGTATTTTTAAATCAATATTTATGCATATATAGAAAAAATGGCAGTACCAGATTTGTAATGTAAAATTCAATTTTAACTGATTCCTGCAAAAAAAAAAAAAGGCAGGAACTAGAGGAAGTCCTCAGGGTAAATGAAAACATTTGACTTTGAGCACAAGTGAATCAACTGTTTTACACAAGAAAATGTGGGATTACTGATGTGGTTTTTGTAATAAACTTTTATTCTCTGTCCAATATTTTTTACTGCCTCATGTCTGGAAGGACCACACAACAAGTGGTCAGCACATACCATGTATATAAGGTTAGCTAAAATGCACTGGACTTCATCAATATCAACATCCTCTACTTGCATGAACTTCAGGGCAATCAGAAAGGCATCTAGAGATAGCTGATGGGTTTTGAGTAGTAAATATCTGAAAGACACAACAGAACAAATGTGTTATTGAGAAATACTTAAAAATTCTGGTTCTTAGAAAAATAGCCTTTCTACAATAAGTTCACTTCAAGAGGAAATCAGGTCTCTCAGAGGGAACTAAGGAGCATATATAACCAAATATAGGTTTTGTTATGCTTACACTTTCTTAAAGAGATTTCTGTATGTGATGATTTTCAGCTTCTCAAGGATAAGAAAGATTCCACATCGAATAAAGAAGGTCTCATGCTTTGTCAGAGCATCATTCAGTAGGAGAAGATTGCCTTCACTGCAAGGATGAATAAATGAAAAAATAAGAAGGTCTCACCCAAATGAGAAAAGAAATTCTCTGACTTGGCAGGAATATGCATCCCCTGCCTTCCTCAATGATCCCAAATAAATACCTTTTACTTAATACTTTTTGAACACAAAGCAACAAAACAGGCATCATACCTCACAGACTTTGTTACTTCAGCAAACTGCATAAGGTCATACTTTTTTAAGAGCTGAACTGTTGGCATATGGCCCTGAAAAATAAATGGTTTCCAAGTTTTCCAGGGTAAAGTCAAATGCATTTTAAATAGAATCTAATAAGCTACAAAAAATTTGTGAAGAGAAAAAGACAAATGTTTAGCCACTTTTTTTTGCTACAGAATAAGAAGCAGATAAAAGTATTTGTAAGACAATCTCCTTGTCCCTGTCAAACACTTTGTAGCTCAACTCACAATAACTACTGATTTATCATGATTTAGGGAGCCTTCATACTTACTGTTAGGAAACAGCTATCAAATTTGTAAAATCAAGATCCCATGCCATGAGGCCTACGCAGATTCAAATTTTATGTCATGACTGTATGATCTAATCTGCAAACAGAAGAACTGTAGAAATACCAAGCATTCCCAAAGGAATACAAACAGTGCTGTAGCACTGTCAAATGCCAGCTCAGTTTGTAGCAGAGATTTTATTCTCTCTGCCTTCATGTGGAAATAAAAATGTCCTCTCAAAAAACAAGCACCACCACCAACCTCCTTTCCCCCCTCCAAAAAAAAAAAAAAGAGAGAGGAAATGTTAAATTTAAAGAAACAAAATTAATTCTCATTGCTGAATCAGGTAAGACTGAACCATCTACACTATCAAAAGGAAACTTTGGTTTTTCCCCGTGCACAACAAAGATCAGATTGCACATTGACTTGGTCAGACTTTAAATTTAGTTACATCATGCTATGCTGTTGGTAACTCCTTTCCTGGATGGAGGATTAGCTGAGAGCAGAACTCAGCTGCATGTTTACTTGAGAGCTGCTAGGAATTAAAAAAAAACAACATCCAAACTATTTTAGTACAGCTTAAGGTTAGTGTTAATGTTTAGGCTCTGATTTAAAAAAAGTAACTGTGAAAACAGTGACCTTTATCTAGTTTCTTTAGTGGCTCTTGTACATTAGAACTGCTCCAGAAAAGCCACAGTAATTCTAAGCACTACCAAACCCACCAGTTTAAGGCACCCAGTCAGGACTGTGACAGTTTTTAGGAGGACTGTTAGTTTTCCTTTATCAACCCTACCATTGATTGATCTGAAAGTAACCAATAACAAAGTCAATAAATAAAAAACGGAAAAGAGAAGCCAATTATCATACCCATTATGCTTCCCCTTTACCTACTGGACACAGCAAGGGACTGGAAAGAGAGCATTGAATGGAAAAGGGAGAGTGGTCACAAATAGACTGTGGCAACCCAACAGAGGCAGGTGATAACATTACCCATGGGTAACTTTTGTAACAGGGCTGGGAAGAGGAAACTCTAAAGTCTAATTCGTGTCCCCTTGGTTACACTGAATTAATTGTTAGCATAATTGCACTAATTCAGGGATAGACAAATATTAACACAGCACATGGGAAAGGACAGGAACAAGAAACAGATGTGTTTCATTCTTTTAACAGAAATACAAAACGATCAGATACTAACCAGACTTCAGTGATTTTTCCAAAACCAAAATGCTCTACCTCATGACCCTTCTGACATGGGCAAATATACAAAGTGCAAATAGAAAACTCAAAGATAGGCTGTGGCTTTGGCAAACCCCTCTCAACAGTCCTCAGCCATCTGTTTGCACCTCCTCCTTTCTTCCACTAGGTGAAAGAAGATCAATTTATCCTAGTGAATTCACACATTCCCTGGCTCATCTGTGCAGCTGATCACCAGAGATGCACACTGCTACCTGACAGAGGTTACACTGTTTAGTGCTTCTCCAAAGAACTCAAAGATATCTTTCTTACAGAAGTATCATCAGATTGCACCTTCAGGAGGGGTGGGATGAAGGTATGGGGAAAGGAGGAACGGGTTGGTTTTGTTAAGGTGGGCCGGGGAGGGATTTGTTTGTTTGTTTGGCTGTGTTTCCACCCCTCCATTTCTCCTTTCCTGTTTTGCTATAAATGACAGCTCAACGTTTTTTGTCCTCAAACAACAAAGTGTGCATGTGCTGGCTCTTACAGGGGTAAAACACAGCCTCTGAATTCCAGTAAGGGAAAACCAAGAACAATACTGAGAATCAGGTTTATTACCTTGTGTGTCCCCCTCCTCCCCTTATTTAGAAGAGTAACACCTACTCACCAACAACATTTTTACTGGCAGCAGGTAGATCAAAATCATTCTTTTATTCTTCTGGCTTGATCGGTGACAGTGCTCAAAGGCAAATGACAGATACTCTTCAGCTGCAGACACAAATGCAAGCACCAGTAACGAGTCAACAACAAAAACAGATTAAAACTGTAACTCAAATTCTGTGCTCAATTTCCACCTCTAGCTTGAACATGACATCTGAAATTACATAAAAAATAATCACAGCAATCAAAATACATGAAGAAAATTTGGAGATTCACACGAAATACAGAGTATTACCAGAAAAGTAAGTTCTCCTTCATAAAGTCAAAGAAAACTTGCCAAGGTCTGGATGTCAGACATAACAGTTACAAGTAATATTGGAATTTTCAGCTCATTTCTGTAATATTATTGTGTTCCTATTACAGGAGCAGAGAATCTCAAGAAGCGCTGATGATACAGCACTCTATTTTCTAAATTCAGATTAGGTTCTTCAGTGGATGAAAGCTGCATGCAATGCACACATCTGCTGAGCTGCAGAAATGTGCCAGCAAGACCACACAGCATAACAACACGAAAATCTCTCAGCAATTTCCAATAACAGATAAAAATGACAAGCCTGACAGGCAGAAGACAGTGTTAAGAGTAACAAAAGCAGCTCCAGAATAGATTTTGGTCAGGGGCTTCAGTTAATGATGTTGTACACCTTACCTCTAGAAGCATTTCTATTAGTGAAATCTACTAGAAATCTATGAAAAGCAGTTTCTACATCTTCCAAAATCAATGCACCGAGCAACTAATATCTACATTACAGTTTGCTGAAGATTTCCTACATGGCACACAGCAGCTGCAAAGCCTCCTTTGTGAAACCTTTTACAAACCTATTCTTCTGGATGGTCATANTTCAAGATTCATACAAGTAAAGCTTACATAGACCAGGGGAACTTCTTTTACATGTCTGTGTTAATGACTGTGTAAGGTCTTGACACTTTCATCATGTTTAAAAGTGCTTCCCCTCATACATGGTACCTGTGTTTTCCCTTATGAAGATGTTCATGTCAGTTAGAGGATAAAATAAAACCCAACTGTAAAAGATAGGAAAAGAAAAAGTTTAATTTCCTTTTAAAATAATTTTAAAACCCCCAAACTACCATCTCATCAGTTTGGACAAAATTACATTGTACCAATCCCAAACAAGGTAATAACACTAAAAATACTGGATCCAGTGGTAGTGTTTTCCCCAGAAGCAAAATAAAACAGACTATGGGTAAGTTAGCTACATCATCTTTTGTTCACCATTATAGAAATAAAACAAATATCACCAGAACTAAAAAAAAAAACCAAACCCATCTGTGGGCACCTACAGACAAATTGCCCACATTTTCTTGAACCTGTAAGTATTACTGACACAGTAAAGCTTTTGGTGTCAAGCACTTCTCTAGTTTTTAGAGAAAGCTTGAAGAGAATATTTAATACCAGCAAGATTATCGAAGAGACTTAAAAAAAATGGAAACCATGTAAGAAAACATTATTTCCATTCTGAAGAATGGATTAACACGAGTAACAAAGGCTGACACTTCTCTCTGAAAGATAAATGCAAAAATAGTAACACAAAGTACTTTATAAAAACTTTTAAGTAATTTGTGAGTAATTTGGAATGCTTTGCTTTATTTCTTCATGAAATACTTGGAATTATCTAGAAAGCCTGTGGAAATTATTATTTAAAAGTCAGCATTTCATTCCAACGCACTTTGTAACACTGGCAGTCTTGGTCCTTCTGGGAAAGGAGCCACAAACAGTTCCTGGTATTCCAGTTCTGGACATGAACCAGGCAATTTACAGTGTCCTCGGGGTGATTAGGAGCAGTTCCACTGGACAAGCCAAGTACCTGGGAAGCACTTGCATGGATAAGATGCAACACTCAACACACCGTTGACAGTGGAGGAAATGGGTTCTGCTTACTGACCACAAGCTTCTGATGCTGGTGGGATATGTAGCCTTTAATGTGACCCTGGCAGAAGGAGAAAAAGGGAGCATTAGCACGGGCAGCTGGTAACACAAGGCCTGTAACCTAGGCAAACACCTATAACCTAACCATAGCAGTGTGTGTATGCTCAATCACTGCTGCACTACTGAACTTAATATCTATAAGGGTCCGATTTATGTCAACTCGGAGAGTAAGCAGAAAGTTGGAACCATCCCTGTGTTTGGGTACTACCTACCCTCTCAGTTTGAGAGCCTCTTGCCAGGGCCCCCTATTGGTCTGCTTACATTATCTTCAAGAGACACAGCTTTACAGAAGTGTTTCTAAAGTTACTCTTTGTTCACTTTAAAATGAGCATTATAATCAATTAGTATTCCACACCTAATAAAGTAAATTACATAGTACTTCCTTTTCAAACATTGTGCTGCAACACTGAAAGAAATCTTCCAGTGACCTACACCACATCACATAATCTGTTTCAGAGAGATGTGTTTCATTTACTTGCTGACATCACAGTGCTGCTCCAAAACCTCTGATTTAATAGAAATCTTTACATTTCAAGCCTTTATCTGTTCATGAGTAGTTGAAATCCCCTTAGAGTAAAAGACAAAATGTGGAACAAACCCAAAGAAATCTGACTTTATTTTTTTCTAATGTTAGAAGGTCAAGAGTCTCCTACTTCAAATGCAGAACAAATCCTTTTTGGTCCCAGTTAAAATGTTTGTATTTTTAAATCAATATTTATGCATATATAGAAAAAATGGCAGTACCAGATTTGTAATGTAAAATTCAATTTTAACTGATTCCTGCAAAAAAAAAAAAAGGCAGGAACTAGAGGAAGTCCTCAGGGTAAATGAAAACATTTGACTTTGAGCACAAGTGAATCAACTGTTTTACACAAGAAAATGTGGGATTACTGATGTGGTTTTTGTAATAAACTTTTATTCTCTGTCCAATATTTTTTACTGCCTCATGTCTGGAAGGACCACACAACAAGTGGTCAGCACATACCATGTATATAAGGTTAGCTAAAATGCACTGGACTTCATCAATATCAACATCCTCTACTTGCATGAACTTCAGGGCAATCAGAAAGGCATCTAGAGATAGCTGATGGGTTTTGAGTAGTAAATATCTGAAAGACACAACAGAACAAATGTGTTATTGAGAAATACTTAAAAATTCTGGTTCTTAGAAAAATAGCCTTTCTACAATAAGTTCACTTCAAGAGGAAATCAGGTCTCTCAGAGGGAACTAAGGAGCATATATAACCAAATATAGGTTTTGTTATGCTTACACTTTCTTAAAGAGATTTCTGTATGTGATGATTTTCAGCTTCTCAAGGATAAGAAAGATTCCACATCGAATAAAGAAGGTCTCATGCTTTGTCAGAGCATCATTCAGTAGGAGAAGATTGCCTTCACTGCAAGGATGAATAAATGAAAAAATAAGAAGGTCTCACCCAAATGAGAAAAGAAATTCTCTGACTTGGCAGGAATATGCATCCCCTGCCTTCCTCAATGATCCCAAATAAATACCTTTTACTTAATACTTTTTGAACACAAAGCAACAAAACAGGCATCATACCTCACAGACTTTGTTACTTCAGCAAACTGCATAAGGTCATACTTTTTTAAGAGCTGAACTGTTGGCATATGGCCCTGAAAAATAAATGGTTTCCAAGTTTTCCAGGGTAAAGTCAAATGCATTTTAAATAGAATCTAATAAGCTACAAAAAATTTGTGAAGAGAAAAAGACAAATGTTTAGCCACTTTTTTTTGCTACAGAATAAGAAGCAGATAAGATTGTAAGACAATCTCCTTGTCCCTGTCAAACACTTTGTAGCTCAACTCACAATAACTACTGATTTATCATGATTTAGGGAGCCTTCATACTTACTGTTAGGAAACAGCTATCAAATTTGTAAAATCAAGATCCCATGCCATGAGGCCTACGCAGATTCAAATTTTATGTCATGACTGTATGATCTAATCTGCAAACAGAAGAACTGTAGAAATACCAAGCATTCCCAAAGGAATACAAACAGTGCTGTAGCACTGTCAAATGCCAGCTCAGTTTGTAGCAGAGATTTTATTCTCTCTGCCTTCATGTGGAAATAAAAATGTCCTCTCAAAAAACAAGCACCACCACCAACCTCCTTTCCCCCCTCCAAAAAAAAAAAAAAGAGAGAGGAAATGTTAAATTTAAAGAAACAAAATTAATTCTCATTGCTGAATCAGGTAAGACTGAACCATCTACACTATCAAAAGGAAACTTTGGTTTTTCCCCGTGCACAACAAAGATCAGATTGCACATTGACTTGGTCAGACTTTAAATTTAGTTACATCATGCTATGCTGTTGGTAACTCCTTTCCTGGATGGAGGATTAGCTGAGAGCAGAACTCAGCTGCATGTTTACTTGAGAGCTGCTAGGAATTAAAAAAAAACAACATCCAAACTATTTTAGTACAGCTTAAGGTTAGTGTTAATGTTTAGGCTCTGATTTAAAAAAAGTAACTGTGAAAACAGTGACCTTTATCTAGTTTCTTTAGTGGCTCTTGTACATTAGAACTGCTCCAGAAAAGCCACAGTAATTCTAAGCACTACCAAACCCACCAGTTTAAGGCACCCAGTCAGGACTGTGACAGTTTTTAGGAGGACTGTTAGTTTTCCTTTATCAACCCTACCATTGATTGATCTGAAAGTAACCAATAACAAAGTCAATAAATAAAAAACGGAAAAGAGAAGCCAATTATCATACCCATTATGCTTCCCCTTTACCCACTGGACACAGCAAGGGACTGGAAAGAGAGCATTGAATGGAAAAGGGAGAGTGGTCACAAATAGACTGTGGCAACCCAACAGAGGCAGGTGATAACATTACCCATGGGTAACTTTTGTAACAGGGCTGGGAAGAGGAAACTCTAAAGTCTAATTCGTGTCCCCTTGGTTACACTGAATTAATTGTTAGCATAATTGCACTAATTCAGGGATAGACAAATATTAACACAGCACATGGGAAAGGACAGGAACAAGAAACAGATGTGTTTCATTCTTTTAACAGAAATACAAAACGATCAGATACTAACCAGACTTCAGTGATTTTTCCAAAACCAAAATGCTCTACCTCATGACCCTTCTGACATGGGCAAATATACAAAGTGCAAATAGAAAACTCAAAGATAGGCTGTGGCTTTGGCAAACCCCTCTCAACAGTCCTCAGCCATCTGTTTGCACCTCCTCCTTTCTTCCACTAGGTGAAAGAAGATCAATTTATCCTAGTGAATTCACACATTCCCTGGCTCATCTGTGCAGCTGATCACCAGAGATGCACACTGCTACCTGACAGAGGTTACACTGTTTAGTGCTTCTCCAAAGAACTCAAAGATATCTTTCTTACAGAAGTATCATCAGATTGCACCTTCAGGAGGGGTGGGATGAAGGTATGGGGAAAGGAGGAACGGGTTGGTTTTGTTAAGGTGGGCCGGGGAGGGATTTGTTTGTTTGTTTGGCTGTGTTTCCACCCCTCCATTTCTCCTTTCCTGTTTTGCTATAAATGACAGCTCAACGTTTTTTGTCCTCAAACAACAAAGTGTGCATGTGCTGGCTCTTACAGGGGTAAAACACAGCCTCTGAATTCCAGTAAGGGAAAACCAAGAACAATACTGAGAATCAGGTTTATTACCTTGTGTGTCCCCCTCCTCCCCTTATTTAGAAGAGTAACACCTACTCACCAACAACATTTTTACTGGCAGCAGGTAGATCAAAATCATTCTTTTATTCTTCTGGCTTGATCGGTGACAGTGCTCAAAGGCAAATGACAGATACTCTTCAGCTGCAGACACAAATGCAAGCACCAGTAACGAGTCAACAACAAAAACAGATTAAAACTGTAACTCAAATTCTGTGCTCAATTTCCACCTCTAGCTTGAACATGACATCTGAAATTACATAAAAAATAATCACAGCAATCAAAATACATGAAGAAAATTTGGAGATTCACACGAAATACAGAGTATTACCAGAAAAGTAAGTTCTCCTTCATAAAGTCAAAGAAAACTTGCCAAGGTCTGGATGTCAGACATAACAGTTACAAGTAATATTGGAATTTTCAGCTCATTTCTGTAATATTATTGTGTTCCTATTACAGGAGCAGAGAATCTCAAGAAGCGCTGATGATACAGCACTCTATTTTCTAAATTCAGATTAGGTTCTTCAGTGGATGAAAGCTGCATGCAATGCACACATCTGCTGAGCTGCAGAAATGTGCCAGCAAGACCACACAGCATAACAACACGAAAATCTCTCAGCAATTTCCAATAACAGATAAAAATGACAAGCCTGACAGGCAGAAGACAGTGTTAAGAGTAACAAAAGCAGCTCCAGAATAGATTTTGGTCAGGGGCTTCAGTTAATGATGTTGTACACCTTACCTCTAGAAGCATTTCTATTAGTGAAATCTACTAGAAATCTATGAAAAGCAGTTTCTACATCTTCCAAAATCAATGCACCGAGCAACTAATATCTACATTACAGTTTGCTGAAGATTTCCTACATGGCACAAAAGAGCTGCAAAGCCTCCTTTGTGAAACCTTTTACAAACCTATTCTTCTGGATGGTCATAAATTTTGTAATGCACACATATAACGCATAAGACTACAAGGAACCTCACTGAACCTCATGCAAATATTTTAAAACTGGACATATACTACAATTAGAAGTGTCACATAATCTCATCTCTGTTCTGAGTCAGTCTGTGGGCCTTGTACCTTTCAGCATGACTTTCCTTTAATCCATGCAAACACAACCGCATCTTCTACTCATGTTTTGAGTCACATACAGCATCAGATTTCACACCAAGCAGAAAGACTTTCACTGTGTCTTACTGGCACACAGTACCTTGCTTAAAGTCACTGTCAAACATGGCTTTGCGTCCAACATAATATTTGTATGTAACTCGCTGTGCCATACTATATTCGTCCTTCAGATTTGAGCTGTCAATTGCTCTAATTAAGGGCTTACATAGATGGAGTTTGTTGATCTGTTAAAAAAAAAATTGCATTTTACTTAGAGAGTGTAGATAAACAGCATCATATAAAAAAGGGTGGGTTTGACTTAGAATATGAAATACAGAACACAGCTTACCAGACTTGAACCCTACCTTAAAATAAATTTTAAACAGCTGATTAACAAGAAACAACATGCCCCACTTTTTGGAGTCTTCAATGCCTGCTCGACTGTCAAAAGCAAAAAGAAAAAATCTACTAGTACGGGACCCTTTGAGAAAATAACTATTTTGTCTTTATAGTAAATTCACTTAATAGATATTTTATGGATTTTTAGGGTAAACATAGGTGTCTGAAAATAAAAGTCACTGCCAAATTCCTTAAACTCTTTATAGACATACCAGCATTGTCAAAACAGAACATGTGTTTCCATATAAATACCTCTGCTACATTTTTTCTCAATGCCATGAAAAGGTGTCATGCAAAGTACTATCCATCTGCATGAGGGCTCTCACTCTAGTCTGCAGGTAACACATACACTAGCACAGCAGTGACTTATAATATTTGAGATAAAAGATTGGGGAAAAAAGCATTTTTCCACTTCAGAAGTGTTAAAACTGCAAAGACTGGAGACCAAAGTTTTCATCTTTCATTAGGCTTTTCCATCTAAGCCTAATGGAGCAAATTTCACAATTGAACAGGGCGCAAAAGCACTAATCACCTTTTCTGAGAAACAGGGACATAATCAGTCCCTCCCCACAACATCTGCTGGGAATGCAGCCTGAAGCGAGGGCTCTCCATTTCTAGTCAATAGTCAGAGAGAACACACTAAAAATTACAGGAAACAAGACTCAGAAGTCTTTATTCTTACCCATACACGGCCTTAGTAAGTGGGAAAAGCTAAAGTAAAGTTCATTAAGCTCTTAACAATTTTGTAGTGCGAGTTCTATAGAGGGTCTTTCACTTACGTGTCACTGGCACAGACTCGAAAACAGCTCATCAGTAGTTCTGCTGCTTTTTCCAACATGTCACCAACCTTGCTTTTCCCTTTCTTCACAAGCTGTTGATCTGCCTAGAATTACACAGCAAGAAACAATATGTAATTCTACATCCTGGTTTGCTGGGTTGCAAACAATTTAGTTCCTTAATATAGCATTTTATAAAGTATTATAGCAATAGATTTGTCATGCCTGCTCTCTCCCAAATCTAGAAGGAAATCAGGCTCACAGAATAAAAGGAAACACTTGGAGAGGCTCCTGAACATGTACCAAATCTAATACACAGGAGGACAGTCCTTTGAAAATACACAAATCTCAGAAACCTAAATTCAGGTTCAATACCTGAACTGGAGCATTAAAACTTCAACTCAAGTTTACAAAGACCAAGAGTCTGGAAAAAAATTACAGAGTCTGAGTTTTAGAATTCCTTATACAGTTTCTCTCCAAAGCCGTGAAGACTATATTTTATTTCTAAACCATATGCAAAATTTTCCAGTAGTAATGCACAATGCTGAGACATGAGACTACCAGAAGAAACATAAAACCTATGTTACAGCAGCAAGAGAAAAAAAAAAGAATTCAGTTGTCAACACATGGGAAAGATCCGTGCACTGACTAATGCAGAACTTCAACAGAAAAAACATAGCAAGTAGGTATTTATTACTTTTTAAAAAGTTTTACTATAGTGCTCGCACTCTCACTAGCTGAAACATAAAGAAAAGAAATGGAAATGCATCCTCTGCTACAGAAGTCTTCTCTGCATCCACATCCTTTGAATATACTACAGTTAGAAGACAGAGTCCAAATACTTCCAGTATGACTGGTTCAACATTCCCCTTTCTCATGCATCTCAGATATATGGATTTGTCTCACTCAGACTGAGAACTGAGACTTGTTACAGAGCAGTCACACACACAAAAAATATTCTCTGTGCAAGCATGCCACATGCGTGGTTTCATGGGTAAGAGTGACAAGAGCACGAGAGAGTGCTGAGTGGATATTATCATAAAAATTCTAACCTAACCTGAACTTTAGCTTCACCTCTTCAGGTAAAGTGACTAGGAGCAAATCACAACTCTGCCACTTACCTTGGCCTAGCAGTTCTCAATAGATCTCTACCCAAGCTACTTCAATTCACCAGCACAAGAAAAATCATGTAAATTTGGGGATTATTTGCATGTCAGCAGTTGTATAGCTCAGAAAGGGCTCCAATGAGCATCAAAAGCAGTGCACACAGCTCGAAAAGGGGAAAGGAGCAGAAACTCCCCTCTTCAGATGTGGTGAATGGTTAGATTAGCTCAGTTGTCTGTGATACCTGCACCCTTATAAAGATTTCCACCAAATCCCAGGGATAACATGTGGAAACAGTGAGTTGTGACATATGCTACTCGATAAAGAAAATACTCAATCCCTTCATGAGTTCTAAGCAATTGCTAGGAGTTGCATGCAGGTCCTCAGAACCCCTCTAGTTCAGGCTGCAAATGAGAGATGGACAGACTGAGCAACCTTATTTTTCAATAGGACTGGATGAATTTAGTTTGTCAACAATATCCTAAATAATGAGTTAAAGAACAAAATTAGGCTGTGCAATAAAGTCTAAAAAAATTTCCATTGTAGAAATACCAAACAGGTAAAAGCAATGAGGTTGTTAGTCAGATCTACTTACATTATTAGCAAAAATTCGAAGATCAAGGGCTACAGCATACATAATAGGTAAGGCCCTGAAAGAGTAAAACACAATATACTTAGTATATGCGAATCATGCAATAAGTAAAACATGAGAAAAAAGCAATTTTTTTGTTAGTTGATCATAAAATCAGAAAAGTATACATTAATCTTTAAATAAAGCTGGATGCATTTTTTAAAAGGAAAGTTCTTCAAGTTCTCAGCATTTTATAAATCTACACTGCAATTATTATTTCTGAAGCCTTTTTTAATGTGACTTTTTAAAATACTAACTCCCTTTGAACAAACTCTTCACGTGTTCACTTACGGACCATTCTACATAATTAGGTGCAGATGTTTACTTTTCACACTTTTGAACATAAAAACTCAAACATGCAGCAAAAGCAATTAGGTTGGATTTAAGCATCACCAGGGATAAATAAAAATTATAGCCATAATTTTATTTGACTATTACAGTATCAAGTGGAAAAGATGAGTCTAGTTTCTAGAAGCTTTCTATGAGGTACTCACCAATTTTCTTCTTTATGTGCCTGAAATGCTCGCAGGAAAGATGTAATGTATTCAGGAGAATTTAAAATGCCATGACATGAAGCACATATTTAAGAAACAGCAGTTGAATGGTACAATATATTACTACATGAAAGACTAGAAACCAAAAAAGCATCAAGTAGTTGAGGAGTCAGGATGCAAAGACACATTATGGAAGAACGTGAGCACAGCCAAGCATTCCTTTATGTGGCAGCAGTAGCAAGAAACACTGGCCAAAGATAGAAGCTTCTTTATCATTATTTTCCCCTCTAGCCAAGTACGAACTGCAAGGTATATTAATGATTTGACTCTGGGAGAAATTAATTTTCTATTTGAGAGCCAGGTGACAGATTCCTTCTTAGCACTACAGAAAGTTGAAAGAAGAGTGTATCTGGATTTCCTTGCTTAGGAACCTAAGCAGCTGAAGTGGAAGCAAATCACATTCTATTAGATTTTTAGAAGGCATAAGGAGAACTTTTTCTACAAGAAGACAGAGTTAATCTGAAAACAATATACAAGAGTTACGGAAAAGGATATTGGACAATAACTGTCTGGCATTTGTATGCTTCTATAAAATCATGGTTTCCAACAGCATAAGTACACCTGTCAAAGAAAAGGTGCATTAGTGCATCAGAAAATACATGTAAAACAAATATTTCTTTTCGTCTCTTAACAGGCATAAAGTTTTACAGTTTATTTAAGAGACACAGAAATGTGATTAGAATGTTCCTAACAAAATGGCACAAGTATTTTAACAGAGCACTAAGCTTGATAATTGTAGAAAACTGATCCAAGAGATGGATGAGGATTTGCTTTACTAAGCTAATACTTACTGAAATGGTCAACAAGATTAGATAAAAAACAAAAATCCAAGGCTGTTGAAAGAGAACTAAAGACTGTGTTAATGCAATTTTTTTAAAAATAAAAGTCTCACAGAATTACTTAGGTACTACAGCTGCCTTAAGAGTACTTTTATGACTAAAATTCCCTTTTAAAAATGTTTCTCTTATTTATTTCATTGAAAATTCTTATGTAGCTAGTGCACACAGAGCAAGGGAAACACTGAAACCAAAGCTGTGCCAAAGGCTATATGCAGATGACTGCCAGGTACACAGAGCAAACTTTATATGGAGAGGAGAAAGTCTTTATTTCCTGCAGCTCTTGCATTATTTTTAAGAGTAATAAATACCAAGTTTCCAGATGTAAGCCCTTTAAAACAGGTAAGTAAACTTAAGGATATCTCCTTCCCCATCCCTGCTGGATGCCTCACAAGTGACTTTACATTCCAGGCCCATCTTTACCTTAAGTGGGCTGAAAACATTTCATCGTATGGTGGCTCCAAAACTTGTTGACACTTCTCCTCTGGAGATGGAAGCTAAGTATAGAATAAAATAAACATTAAAGGAACATCCAATGCACCAGAAACAGAGTGTCATATGGATATTTTGTCATGGCAGTTTTCACAGAATCACAGAATTGTTAGGGTTGGAAGAGACCTCTGGAGACCATCTGGTATCATGGCATCTATCAGAATCTTAAGTTATATTAAAAATCACATTCAGTGCAATGAATTGCTACTGTGCATTCTGTCTCCAGAACCTGATCAGAGCCAGCCTTAAGTCATGGCTAGGCTTCGCGAACGAAGATTTGGGAAGGTTCTATCCATGTTTGTTACAAGCATGCTAGTGGCTTATGGGGCCAATACGAGATAGACATATCCGATTGCAAAAGGCACAGCAGAAAGACTCCTTAGGTGGTATATTCAGCAGGACACAATTCTTTCTGCGTTGTCTTTTCTCCTGAAGGGTGATCCTGCATGCATTCTCAAAGGCATCAGCAGCGTTATAGATGGTGTGTCTCCAGACCGCCCGACTGGAGGCCAGAGTAGACCAGTTATGTTGATCAATATGGCCAAGGCTGAGATGTTGTTTCAGGGAGTCCTTGTATCTTTCCTTCGGGGCTCCTCTCTTATGACAGCCAGTGGCAAGTTCACCATAAAGCAGGATCTTAGGGAGGCAGTGGTCCTTCATCCTTGAGATGTGCCCTGCCCTGCACAGCTGTGTTCTCAGCAACATGGCTTCAATGCTTGTGACAGCTGCTTGCTCTAGAACAGATGTATTGGTCACATAATCTGACCAGTGAATGTTTAGGATTGTACGGAGGCAGCGTTGATGGAAGCGTTCTAGGAGACGCAGGTGGTGGCAGTAGATGACCCATGATTTGGATCCATATAAGAGAGTAGACAGCACTATGGCTCTGTAAACACTGATCTTGGTGCTTTTCTTCAAGTGTTTATTACGCCATACTCTTTTATCAAAGGTAGCCTTAAGTAAAAGCATTTGAAATGCACAGATCACAAACACCAGGCCCTTCCTTCCCCCTGCTTTTTTTCTCTATAGTCACTTCAGCTCTGTCATCTTAATTACTAATGTAGACCTGGTGAGAAAGGACTTTCAAGACTGTACCTATCCAGAACACTAAGAACCATTCATGAAACAAAATAATTTAAAAAAAAAGAGATACAGAATATCCCTGTAAAAAGAAAAGAGAAGCAAAACTACAAGGGGATCCTGCTCTGGCCTATGAAACAGGTTTCTGAGATTTATCTCCAATGGAAAGGAACCCACATAGAAAGCTAGGAAAACTGAAAGCAGAGCAAAAGAAAGATCAAAACTAGATTCTCACCTGTAGTCTTGGGTTTGCTACATGTGGATGTTTAAATGATACTAATTCCGCACAAAATTGTCCATCTCTGCTGTCAATGGCTTCTTGTACCTACCAAAGTAAACAGCCTCATTACAGAATAAAATCCAGCAACACGCACACAATATATTTACACAAGTACAGAAGTCACCTTCTTGTTACCACCGTTCATCCTCATTAATATCAACTCAAATCTGAGTTTTTAAAGGTTTAAAACTGAATGAGTAATTTTGTATTTTCAATACACCTGTTTTCAAAAAGGTCCCAGACAGAAGGCAAGGTGAACACTATTGTGTTTTTTTCCTTATTTGTGGGATACAAGCAAATCAGAGGATCCCCACACAACGTACAAGGGCTTAGCATTGTGAAACAGCAGTTGTGAGCCATATTCCACTTGGACTCATGGGCATCAAACACGGATGTGAAGTTACAATCCTTGAGTAATGCTTTAAAATAAAGTCAGGCAGACTTAAGATGTAGATGTCATTCAAAAGCAATATCTGATATTAGACTGGCATATATACAGAACACTTCTGAAATCTGTTAAGACTGTCAATGTTATATTCTGTGGGAGAATGGTTTAATTCTGCTTCCTGCTAAAGATAACTCCTTGTAAACATTAGTCTGCCTGAACAGTTTATTGTGACATGAAAGTGGAAATTTCTTCAGTTCTGGAAGTAGTTTTAGATATTACTTCTTCTGAGTTCATTTCCCACTGTTTGTGCTTTATTTGTCATATTTTTGTGTCCCAATATGGAAAAAAAAATCTTTTTGCTGTATGGAAATATATATCAAATGGGAAAAAATGGGAAAAAAATTATAGACTAAAATATCAGCAAAAGAGAGAAAATCAGCTTCTTGAACTCTTTCAAAAATTGGCAGTGATTTTTTCCTTCAGGAAAAGGAAGAACTAATTTTGTGGGGGTTAAGTAGTTTTTTCCTATTAAATATTCAGCATACTGTCCACTGGACAAGATGCTGATTTTTCAGAGCAGATCATTGTCCAGAGTGATCTCAAGATGCTCCATTTTTGGAGACTAAAACCCAAACAATTGCTCTCTTTTTCTGCCCTTCGCTTAACTGACTTGACTGATGTTAGGTGCAGTAAGATAACAATGATGAGAATGCAGTGGTCCCGAAAGAACCAGCAGGAGTGGACACTGAAAGCTTGACACTGACAATTAAGTCCAGATGGTGTCCCTGTGATTCTGCTCCCGTTTCTCCATCCTCCCTGCCGTACATTCAGTGTCTCCGCATTTCTGATCTTAAATCCCTGTGTTTCTCGAATCCCTGAGCTGCACCTGTTCCTGCACTCTCTCACCATCCCTCCGTGTCGGTTTTCACGGATAAATTACCTCGCTATCCATTACACCAGAAACCATCACACCTTTCGGGCATTCCAGGTACAGGCCCTCGGCACCCAGACGGCGTGTGTGAAGAAATATATTTCTTCACCACATCGCTCGTTCTATTTCTAAAACAAGACAACCTATTTACAGCAACGCATTTACACCCACATACTCAGCGCCCACAAATTAATTTAAAAAAAAATCAGAAAAAATCTGGCTTACTTGCTGCAAATACTGATTTATGGTGATGTGCGCCATTAAACCGTAAGCAGGCAAGGCAAGAGTCCCAACTCTCTGCCACACTCCGGGTCCCCGGCTCGGCGCTTCCCGGAACTCCCCTCGCGCTTCCGGCACCCGCCGAGGCGGGTCACGTGACAGCCGCCCCACTCCACCCCCAATCGCAGCTCTCGCGCTCTGCCCCGCCCACAGTGTGGCGCGGGGCGTGGCTTTGCCCCGGTAGCCAATGGGAAAGCGCGGTGGGCGGGGCAGAGAGGGCACGTCAGTGATAAGCCTCGTGCGCTGGGACGCGCCGTGCGTTCATGNGGAACTCCCCTCGCGCTTCCGGCACCCGCCGAGGCGGGTCACGTGACAGCCGCCCCACTCCACCCCCAATCGCAGCTCTCGCGCTCTGCCCCGCCCACAGTGTGGCGCGGGGCGTGGCTTTGCCCCGGTAGCCAATGGGAAAGCGCGGTGGGCGGGGCAGAGAGGGCACGTCAGTGATAAGCCTCGTGCGCTGGGACGCGCCGTGCGTTCATGGGTGTGTGGGTGGTGTTTATTTCTGTGGGCAGCGGCAGGCCCCCCCTGCTCGCCCATGTTCCGTTGGCTCGTAAAGGTGGCGGGCGATGCCTTCCGTGAGCACCGTGTGACAGGACCCCATTGGCAGGAGACCCCAGTCATTTGCCCGGTAGAACGCGAGGGCTGGAGCGCCCTCCTCCCATCTCTCCTCGCTGGCTGCGCTCCCGGGAGCCGAGCTGCCCGCGGGGAGCGCTACGTGGGGGTTTCGCTGAACTTAGGTCAAAAAAGTTGAATGGAGCTTTTAACTCTTGAAAAGGCTGCTCCTAAAGGCACTAACGCCATGGAGGCGTGTAAGACAAGAACACGCTCCATGCCCGGGCAGGCTGGGCTCGGTTGTCTGAGCTGGGCTGGAGGGAGCCGGTGAGCAGGGCTGGTGGCTATTCTGGACGGGATGCGCGGCTGCTCTTTGGGTCCTGCTCCGGCTGCCCCTCGGCGGCTACCAGCAGGCATAGCCGGGAGAAGAAGCGGGGGGCTCCGAGGGGCTGCGAGGCGATGGCGAGAGGAGCTGTCGCCGCCCGCCCGGCCCGCGGGAGGCTGCCCCGGCCCAGGAGCCATCTTGTGAGCGGAGCTGCCACTGCCCGAGCGCCACGGATGGCCGAGACTGGGGCACGGATGCGGACCCGTACGGCGAGCCGGCCGCCGAGGCGCCCCGGGGCGGGCAGGCGGCTGTCGGTGCCGGCCGGCCCAGCGGCGCTTGGCAGCCGCCCGCGGGCAGTGGGGGAGGGCGGCTGGGTGGCGGCGGAGGAGGAGGAGGGGAGCGGAGGCGGGGACCAAGCGGCCCCGGCCCGGCCCAGCCCAGCGCGTTGCCCCGGCCGGACACGGCGCCCGGGGCGGAGATGGCGGACGAGCCGCAGAAGAAGCCGCACTTGTCGGCCTTGGTGGGGCACACCAACGGGCTCACCAAGCCCGCCTCGCTGGCCGCCACCGCCACCCGCGCCGCGGGAGGAGGAGGCGGAGGCGCGACCGCCTCCTCCAAGAAACTCGTGATCAAGAACTTCAGAGGTGGGTACGGGGCAGGCCGGGCCCTCTGCCCCGGCAGGTGCGCTCGGCCCCGCCGTCCGGCCCCGGCCCGACCTTTGTTTACCGCGGCCCCGGCCGCTCCCCGCCCCTTCCCCGCGGCCGGGCCGGCGGGGCCCCGCCGCCGTCACCCGCCCTGCCGCCTTATCGGGGCGAGGGGCGGCTGCCCCCGGCTGATACCGCGCCCGCCGCCGGCACTGTGCCCGTGCCAGGGCTCCCAGGGACACCCGTGGAGGCTCCGTGCGCGGGGGCAGCGGTGGCTGCGCCCTGTGGGGAGCGGGCAGAAAGCCACCTTAGTGTCAGCGCTGATCAGAGCCAGGCGAGGGTCGTTACCTCGCTAAAAGTAACACGGGCGTCAAGCACCGCAGCCGGGGGATCATGTCCGTCGTGCAAGGGTTTGGTCGTCTCGGGTGGAATTGGTGTTCCCTCTGGCAGTGCCAGAGTTACACGGTCAAGCGCAGCATGGCTTGGCAGGACTCGATGGAGCAGGGTGAGCGAGATTGCTGCAGGCTCCTCTTGGGTAGCTGTTTTTCAACTAGTTGTGTCTTACTTCACAGAAAGACCCAAATTACCCGAGAATTACACTCACGACACCTGGCAAAAACTACATGAAGCAGTGGGAGCAATACAGAGTAGTATTTCTATTAAATACAACCTTGAAGAGCTCTACCAGGTAAGGCGTGTAGTGTTTTGGTTTAATTTCTCTGAGTTTAACAGAAAGTAAATAAAGTGCTTTGAGACTTTCACAGAGCACGCATTCAACATAATGTATTTTGATTTGTTAAAAGCTGCGTGTATTTTTTGAACACTTTGCTCCATACTCCATTTCCAGTCAGTTTGCAGTTTTATATATCAGTTCCTTGGAGAGTTACCAGGATCTTGGCCCATGAAAAAACAGTTTATGGTGGGAGACACAGAAAGCTATTCCTGGGCAGGGCTGAAATTTCTCTTGGTATCTTCAATACTCTGCCCACTCAACATGCTGAAAACAAGATGTTCCTCTAACTGACTTATGAAGTTATATATTTTATAAAGATTTTTGTACATGGTATGGTCTTCTGTAAATAGTGAAGTTGAAATGTTTGCTATTATTAGATAACACAACACTTCAACATCAATACTTTTTGGGGAATTGAGAAGGAATCTCAATTGAGCAGTTAACAAACTGTCAGTTTACCCATGTTTCAGATTACTGTTACATTTACATAACAATCAGGATCTTATTTTTTCTATTGAAGTGGTGAAAAAGTATTTCTAGAACATCTGTGCTAATAGAGCAGGGACTAGGAAGGGTAAAAGAGAGACATACTCATGAGCCATTTCTTTCTACTTTCTCAATTTGTATGTGATTTAGTTCTATGTTATTTTAATTGTATGTACTTTGAGGTATTTAAGTGAAGTGCTAATTTTTTACAGTGATCATGTTATAAAAAATTACCAATGCACTAAGTTGTGCTACACAGCATAAGTTAGTTACGAGTTTTTTGTGGGTGCAGGTGTTTGATGTGCAGATGCCCCATCTGTTGATGCCCTTGGCAGATCAGGACTTAAGATACTATTATGCTCACCTGACACTTTCTCAGTGTTCAGTTGAGGTAGGTTTGATGTTGTCTGCAAAGTGCAGACTTTGAGAGAGAGGAGAAGACCAGCAGTTCATATTGGGTCCATGCTCAAGAAAATCAGGCTGTTTTTGAGAACTGACTGTAACTGTACTTGTCTCTGTGATTAGTTAGGGTGTATAAAATATGGATCTAAAATGGTGATTATGTACATGTATATTGACTTGATATAATTTATTCCCTTTAAATAGAAAAATTGACTGTGATGTATTCATCTGTTAATACTTGCAGGTTTGCAGAGTTTGAATTGCATAATACATTTTATCATTTTAAACTCAGCATTTCAAAAATCCTGCTTTTTCACGCCTAGCTAAAAAAAAAAATCCCACAGATGCTTTGAGCGTTACCTAACTTGTTTTCAGAGTCTCAGAAATGAGATTATAGTAATATGGGTATGAAATCGCTGAGGTACAGGCTTGAGTTTTGGCAGAAGAGGAGAAGAGAGATTTCAGATAAACTGTGAAGGGAGAACTGTACTTCTTGCTTTTTCTCTTTGCCTGCTTGTTTGTAAAAACTGCACGAGGCCGGTTGAATAATCTACGAAGCAGCAGATCAGCAAGATTTCTGTGCAGAGGGTGGTAGCAGTCAGTGTTCCTGTGCACAGACAGGTACTTACGTGCCAAAGGAATAAAAGATGAGGTTCAGCATCCATTGGAAACCTGATCTGTACTTACAGATCGTTTTAACTGCCTGTTGGTGAGCACAGTGTGCATCAGTTCTTACTATTGGGCCTTTTTTTTGCC